CCCCCCAGCCAGTGAGGAAGTGGGAAACCTCCTCGTAGGGAGGGAGGAGAACCCCAGGTCCCAGGACGGACCCCGAGCGGCACCGAGGCCGGCAGTCGGCCCGGCCCCGACCATGGGATTCCCGAGACGGTCACTGCAGCTGGCGGTCAGTCAGACCCGGCTCTGCTGGGGATTGGACCCCGCTCTGCCAACCCTGGAGAGGACGGCATGGGCGGGAATGGACCTGGCGGCGGGAGCGGACACCCGAGGGATCGCCGAGATGACCCCAGACTCGAACGCCTGAACCAGGGTAGGTTCTGGGGGTTGGGGCAGCGGCCCCAAGGGACTTGGGAAGGGAGGAAGCAGCCCGGGGCAGGGCGCTTTTGGCCCGGAGTGACCCCCCGTCTACCGCGTCGGGGTGCGAGCAAGCCCCGACGCTTAGGGCCCCGGGCTGGGACCCGGAGAGAGGGCGGGACCGGGTCCCCCTCCCTCCCCCGAAGGAGCCTTCAGCTCTGGACAATTTTGACCGAGAGACGCGATAGAACTAGGACCCCCCTGCGCAGGGGGAGCTTGGACGGTGGGCTCCGGCCCCAGCCCGCAGGGACGGGCGACAACGGCTGGGTTTGCTGACCCCCCTTTCCTTCCGGGGAGGGGGTGATCGCACCCAAGTGCACGGGCTCCTGAGCCGGGACCCGGGGCAGGAGACAAGCGGAACGAGGGTGTAAGGGTCTGCCGAACCCCTCTCTCATGCCGGGGGGGAGGGGTGATCGCACCCCTCACCGCTCACAATCCCCAAGCTTTAAACAGCATGAATCCTGCTGGTGGCTATGCCTATTTCCAACAGGCATGCTGCATGCATGAAGTGTCTAGGAGAGGCCCATCTGGTTCAGAAGTACTCACATTGCTCCAGTCTTACATTTAGAGCATGCCATGATCGCACCAATAGCTTGAAGACATACCTTTACAAAAAGTCACTTCAGCCACCACGAGACAACTCGCCTCCCAGACCTAAATTTTCAGACAAGCTGAAAGGGACAAAACTCATCCCTCAACCTCTTCTGTCAAGTCAAAGGCGAAAACCTGGGTTTCCCGGGCTCGGTCGCTACCCCTGGTACCGAGCTCTTTGAGAATGAGCATTGGTAATAAGCCCAGCACCTTGGGGGCAGCATCACCTAAGTTGTCGGCACTGCAAAAAAAGGCCCAGTCTGAGCTCAAACAAAAGCAGTTGGCACTAGTGGCACCGACCACACTGGCTGAATCCACTAGGCACAAACTGACACCACATGCGGCACCAAAAATATCCCACACCAAAATGCCTCCCCCCAAAGCACTGTCCCCGACAGCACCTGTGGCACTGAGTACCACACACTCAGCCTCAGCACCACCACTATATGCCCCATTTTGTCTGGGCCTTATCGGCACTGCCATCTCCGTGCTCGTCGGTGCGTTCTGTTCACTCACTGAGATCACTGGTCCCATCAATCTCCCCCAGTGAAGCCGGCACCGAATTATGTATTATGAATGCTGGTGAGTTATAAATTAACAAGCCAAGTGTCTAGGTATTAAGTCTCTTTCTAGATCTATAGACATTCAAGCAATGGAAGATTTGTCTGAGTTTGTATTACAGGATTTAATCCTCTGAAAATAAATTTTAATTTGAAGTATCCAAATAAGTGAGAAAATTATTTTAAAATTATGACATATACATTGACAGTGACTTTTTAGTATTCTGAAATGTAGATATGAAATAGGACTGTATTGTGACAGAAGTATGTACAGATGAATTTAAATGTAGAAGAAGAAAGCCTATGATTGATATCAGCAATTATGCTTATTAAAAGTTTAATAAAAAAAACTTAAAAACCAAGTGGTCCTGTAGCACCTTGGAGACTAACAAAAAATATAGATAATAGTATGAGCTTTCATGAGCACAACCCACTTCTGCCCACCAAAATTCATGATATTATTTATATTTTTTGATAGTCTCTAAAATGCTATAGGTTCACAAGTTTTTTTTAAATTACAGGCTAACACAGTGTCTTCTTCGGGTAGTCCCCGTGGGTGCTCCACGTCTGGTGTTGGAGCTTTCCAGAGCTGTATTCAGCCGGACTGCGCATGTGAGCCGGTTTCGCGCCTTTCATCTGCCGCGCGCGGTCCGGCGCCCGCCAGTTTCCTCTCATCCGCCTTGGGTCGCACACGGAGCTCCCCCTGTCTCCTCAGGCGGCTACCTGAGGGGAAGTTTAGAACCATTTAATCTTTTCTCTCTTTTTTTAAACAAAGAGCCCGCGACTAAGGGCTAAACAAGAATCTGTAACATCTAACAGACGGAGAGAAGAGAGACGTTTCCTCTCAGTTTGAGTTTACACTGTTTTGTTTCATTACTGTTGCGGTTTAACTTAGTAGTTTAAAAAAACAAAAAAATAAACCGGCAGATTCAAATGGCAGCACATAGGAGCCGCGAACGCACACTCCTCTGCGGTGCTAAAATGCCAGGCTCCCCTGGGTTTAAAAAATGTTCTACGTGCGGGGAGCCAATGCCGGTCTCTGACGGGCACTCTGCTTGTGTCCACTGCCTGGGGGAGGCTCATATCCCCCAAAAGTTCACACACTGTGCCAGCCTGACGACGAGAGCCCGCGAGGAGCGGGAGCGACGTCCGAAAGAGATCCTCTTCAATAAGGCTCTCATGCCTGCAAATGTAACAGGCTCGTCTGCCTCGGACCCCACGCCAGAAAAGCAGAGAGCTCTTTCCCCAGCTGTGCTGTCCCCTGAAAGGAAGAGAGCTTCTCCTGCTCGTTCCCTGCCAATGGCTCCGCAATCGCGGGTCAGCGCAGGTGATAAGCCGGGCACCTCGGGCTCCAGGTTGACCCGTGCACCTACTTCAAAAGCCGGCCGGCTCCTCCCGGTGCTGACAGCCCCCGGCACTGAAGCCTTCAGCAGAGCCTCTTAAAGGGCCAGTTACAATGGCACCGAGGACTTCCGCATCTGCCTCCGGTATCCCTGCAGTCACTCCTCCTCACAAGGAGCTGTCCGCAGCACTGGCACTGGAGGAGCATGCTGCTGCCCAGGTGCCTCCTTCATTGCAGCCAGCAGATCACTCTGCATGCTCAGAGCAGCGTTCAGCAGCACCTATATCAAATATCCAGGAGGTCTCTCTTTCTCCCTCCCCGGTTTTTTCTCCGGAACCGTCCCCTCACCCTTCTACGTCCACATACCATACGAGGGCTCAGAAGGAATACCATGGACGAAGCGTGTCATCTTGCCATCATTATTATACGGACCGCAACTGCTCACTCCACAGATGCTCTAGATCTCGTTCTCCGTCAAGACGCTCGTGCTCACCGATCCGTTCACCGCGGGGCGCTTATTATGACAAGCATAGCACTGTTACGTCTCCCAGACGGCTATCACCTGCAGGCTCTGACGGACGTTATTTGCACTATCATGGACCTTAATACGCTGAGTCATCTCATCACAGGCACTCTCGATCTCACCACAGATCGCCTTGCTCCTGTCAGTCGTTCAGCCCACGCTCCGTACATTCCGAGCTTTGGAAGCAGTCTCCGCTCCGGGATACGTTACCTCCACGTTCTCCGCTCCCTAGATCTCAAATGTCAGACCTTGAGGAAGGGCAACTCTCAGAAACTGACCCAGACTTTTCTCCTGATGCCCGCTCTTCTGTGTTGGCCAGGGATGAACCGGTAACTCTGGTGGAGACAACACCTCCCGACGACCTGAAGGAATTTCAAGATCTCTTTAAACGAGTCGCGCAATCTCAGGAGGTACAACTTATCGAGGACCAGGTGAAACAACATAAGCTGTTCAAGAACTTACACCCTAAACAGCAGCGAAGGATTGCCCTCCCAATAGATGATGCTATTTTGGAGGTAGCAGAGGAAATCTGGCAAACCCCAACATCAATACCGCCTACCAACAAAAAAGCAGATAAAAAGTATTTCGTTCCGTCCAAGGGTTTAGACTTCCTTTCCAATCACCCACAGCCTAATTCATTGATAGTGGACGTGGTTCACCACAAGAGTAAGATGCCCCACTTCAAGAACGTCCTACCGGATAGGGATACTAAGAAATTAGACCTTTTTGGGCGTCAGGTTTATTCTTCCTCAACCTTGCTCCTCCGA